CAGGTTAGTTCATAGTTGCAGGTTAGTTCATAGTTGCAGGTTAGTTCATAGTTGCAGGTTAGTTCATAGTTGCAGGTTACAGGTTAGTTCATAGTTACAGCTTAGTTCATAGTTACAGGTTAGTTCATAGTTACAGCTTAGTTCATAGTTGCAGGTTAGTAAAGGGGGGAAACTAAGCATATCTGTCGGTGTGGAGGAAGATGACAAACAAACTGGTTCTTTCTACTCTACCTGAGCACTCTATAAAACATTGACCCATTCACACAAGCACTTTTTCATGGTTACGTGCAGACTGGAGCAGCCAGGGCTCAAACCAACAACCTTCTGATTAAGAAGGTTCCAAGCTGCTCTACCTGAGCAGAGAAACAGCAGTCTGTATGCACGTGTTCATCACCTGCAGTGGCGTTCCAGTCCAGTAACTGGAGGATGTTCTTGTGGTGCATCAGTTTTCTCATGATGGAAACCTCCATGTCCACGTGTTTGAGACGGACACCTGAGGTAGAGGAGGACACAAAGGTCAAACCAAAGCCCAGATGTAGCTGGCTAAATCAAAAGGAACGTATTTGGTTTTGTACTAAAGCTCAGCATGATTCATGTTAAAAATAATCCTTATTATTATTATTCTTGTCCTGACTCTTAGTTCAGCACCTGAGCTGAAGTGGTAAACAAAAAAGACAACAGAGAATAGTTGATGGATGCTAAAACTGTAGCTACAGCTGAGAGGAGTTGCCGATTCAGGTGGTTAGCCTCTCTGAGCTTGTCTCTGTGGGTAGCTCCTCCCACTTCCTCTTACAGTATTGAATGCATTGTTGTTATACGGCAAAACTTATAATGTACAAGATGAATGTGGTGCCATCAAAGTTCTCCTCGCTCGTCTCAGAGCTGCGTTTGACGTCACTGGTCACAGCATTTTAGTCTGGAATCCCACAGGGTTACATGTCAGTGCTTTTACACTACACTCGCTTTGTTTGCAGCGCTATCAGTAAGTTATGGTCGGGGCTGTAATATCAACACCGAGCTCAATTTATTTTTCAGGAACATGTGATCAACCAGAGCGATGACGTGTTGCAAAAACTGCATGAAAAATGTAAACAAACTTAAAGATTCCCACTAATTCTACTTAAAAACAGAATATTTGAACATCATTACAGGACATCCTACAATCATTTACTTGGATGACAGTTTCCTCCTACTTATCATGTCAAGTACTTAATTACTGCTTTCAGGGATGCTCCGCCTGCAGGCAAACCTGCAGCCATGTCCTCACCTTCCTTGCTGATCTTACAGGTGAACATGCTGTGGCCCTTACACGTCCCTCTGGTCATCCTGGCCTGGTAGAAGACGCCCTCCTTTCCTGCTTTGATCAGCTGCAGAAGGTTCAGGTCTGACTTGGTGAAAGGAGGATCCTTGAATTTGAAATAGACCCGTTT